ACACCATTAAGTAATTCTCGACTAATAGAGATCATGATCCAAGAGAGAACAATAGCATTGCATTTTCCCCATAAAGCATGTAGAGAAGTAGGAAACTTATCCTTTGCGCTAGTAACATCGACAAAACCTATTTTTCCTTTTCCTAGCAAGCCTATTTTTATTGATCTACTCCATAGAGAGTAATTCTCAGATCCAGTGAGCTTTAAAGAAACAAGGGAGCTACCTCGAGTGTCACATGCTTGCAGATGCAGTGTATGATGAGAATCACTTGTAACTTCTCTTCCTACGGTTGTAGGAATAGTAGAATCAAAGTTCGACATTTCACCAATCGCCATTGATGACTATACTACAGTGTAAACAAAAAAGATCCAACTACTTCTCAAACAATGCAACTCTTTTTGAGAAAGTTGTCACTGTAAGTAGAGAATCGAAAAAAATGCAGATTCAATCAGTAGAGCATCAATGACTTTGATACCATGATGAGATTCAACAATGGTGAATCAAGGTTATGGATTCACTGATGAACTAGAGAGAAAACTGTAAAATTGATTTATGAAAAAATGAATGTATCCATACACAATATTGACACTATGCTATTTATAGTGTATTTACTTATAACCTTCTAGTCTAGTTAATCTAACTCAATCATAGTTAACTTTAACTAACATTGGAACTAACTCTTTAACTAACTTTTCCAGTTTCACTATTTATAATAGCTAATTTCTGGTTTCACTGTTCATAACACTGATTTTAGCTAATTTGATCTTGTTTTTACTGTTTTTCTACGACTTTATCAAATTTTTGCTATTTTTTTTCTGCTGCATTTCTGTTTTCGGTTGGTTTAATGTTTTTTTTACTGGTTTTTGGTATGGTTTACTAGTTTTTTTATATTGTTTTACCAGTTTCTTTTTCTGCTTTTCAGGTGTTTTGGCTGTATTTTCTAGTTTTGGTGTTGTTTTTTTGCTGATATTCCGACATTTTTGCTAGCTTAATATTGATTTGAAGTGTTAATATTCTCAAGGTGGAAAATGAAGAAAGAAAATTAAATACTCTCATGCAACTCATAGAACTTTTTTATTGCACTAAACAAACTTAGATACGTTTAGTACAATAAATTCAAAGCGAGACTAATACAACACTTCACTATGCTTCACTTTCTCATCTTCTCTCTTTCCAATTGCAAGACAACTTTTTGTTGCTTTTGTGTAACTATGATATTAACTTTTATCCTACGTACATGATACTTTTCTTTTGTGTAACGATCTTCAATTTGTGCTTGGAGACCAATCTTTTTTCATGGAAGTCGATCTCACAAATTGGATTGACGTTAGACTCTTTTTTTCTGATTGAAATAGTCATAATCTTGATTATGTTCCTAGAATTAAAAAGGAAGCAAATCACTCGGTTCTTAGTTAGACATTATAAAATATAAACAAGTCACTCAATTTTTGCTATAAATATAAAGAAGTTGTAGGCTTATATCCCCATTGTGCTATCTCTCAAGTACCCTATCATGTTGAAGATATATTTAAACCAATAATTTTCTCATTCTCATTTTTTAGTACAATAATTTTTGTGATAAACTCAAAGTTACATCATTTAATTGGATTTGGTGCATCACATTATGCAATGCATCAATGTTTGATATTCAAAAATGGTATGTGAAGCGTCATATTCCGCAATGCATTAGTGTTCAATTTTTAGAAATAGTCTGTTGTAAATAACTTCTCGCAACTTTGAAGTAGCTAAATTTACTTTAGAAGGCCATGAGACCTGAAAATTCATATGTAATACGCCTTCGATTCTTTTCTGGCATTTTATCAAATAGGTAAGGTACATTTAACATTGCCATAGCAGATCTTGCCCGGCCCATGGTCATTGCTACACGTTCATAGCAAATTTAATACCTTTTTCGAGACGATAAAAACAACTAAAAATAAAAACTAGCATTGTAACTCTTTATAAAGTCCATCTCTTTCAATTGGAGAAAATTATTTTTCAGCTTGAAAGCATAAAAGAAAGGTCAACTATTGTTTCTGAAGGATGCAGAGCATAGAAATATGGAGATTTTTGGGGAAGGTCACCTGCTTGACTTGTTATTATTTTAGTTGTTTGTTTTTAACAGAAGTTAATAGAAGACAGAACACATAAGTGGCCCCTTAAACTTGTCAAGATTTTCTGTATAGAAACCTTAACAAGAGTTCCTTCCTATTGAACACTTAAACCACTCAAAAGTGTACCTATCAAACACACCTGGCTGACTTGTCACCTTTCGTTTGAGGCATTTATTTTAAGATGGAGTGCGCGACATTAGACACCTCCTATGTGGAACATCTAATCTACATGGTAATACACATCACAAAACACCCAATCCCTCAATCATTTCCCTAAATCCCCCAAATTCATTTTGAAAATACCCTAGAATTTCTCTCATGATTCCCGCTCATTGTGGTCGATTCTATAAGGAAACCTTGTAGTCATCTCTCTAATATTCATGTATTCTTCCTACGATGTGCTAGATTGAAGAAAATAACTCTTGTTGTTGTTATCTAAGGTTGATTCGAGAAAGCTAGGAGATTTTGTGTTGTCAAAATCTTAAGAAGTTCATTCTCGAATTTCCATGACTATTGCTGTAATTTCCCCTTCAAATGTAACGTCTATTTTTGTATGTTATTACAGTGATGATGTTTTGTACATATGTGAATAAAGTTTGAATTTTTTAGGGTTTGCTTGTCAATAACTTGTCAGCTTTATTTGAATTTTTTCAAGGGAATCTGATACGCTCAAACTTACTTCTCAAATGAGAAGTAAAGCGGTCGCGTCAAGTAAATAACCCAACTAGTGAGGTTGGGATCGTTCCCACGAGGAAAATAGTCTAGACTTAACTCCAACTTGTTATTACTATTGTTCGGTTGATGACTTCCTTAAAAAGTAAAAGCATGAAAGGGTTTTTT